AGTTGCATTTTAACTGAAAAGTTTAGATATATTATTTGGTGTGTAAGTATCATATTATACTGTATTATTGATTTTTATATAGCAAAAACAAATTAAACTAAATAAATCAAGACTCGTACAACATTGACTAATATAATAATTATTTATATTACGATCAATAAAAAAATTATACGAGTCAGATTAAAAATAAGATGAAATTATAAAAACATGATAAAAGGAAAAGGAATCACAAAAATCCTATTAAGAATAATCCCACAGTACATGTAATTGTTTTTTTTATTATCGAAACAACCGTACTAGTATATCAAATTAAAAGTTTGTTTGGAATGATTTATAAGCAGTTTTTTATTTATGATTTACAAAAAAATGAGATAAATATATTAGAAAAGTTTTGTCCCGACTTATATAAACATGTTTATAGTTGATTTGAAACGTGATTCCAAATGGGACCTAACTAAATGAATATATTGTCATAATCTAACTATATCTTTACACCTTGTGAGCTATAAATTCTAAATAGTATGATCAATTTACCTTTGGTTTTTGGCCAAAACAAATCAATATGGATCTAGTATGACTGACTTTAAATTTATCGTAGAACACAGCAAGTTGTTGGCGGTCATGGACAACAACCTGAAGGATTTTAATTGTTTGTTTGGTAATTAATTTGTTTGTTTGGTAATTAATTAATTAACATATTAAAGCCAGACAGTGTTTATATATTCATTATTACACCCTCTTTAAGATGCTATGATTAATATGTGGGACTATATATTATTTCTCAAAACTAATTTACAACGAAACCGCAATTGCTTAGTGGTGAATTTTTCGTTAGTATAGTATTATTTTTTGACCAAACAATAGTATAATATTATTCGAAATCCCCTTTTTCCAAAATGAAAGCAGAATTTTTTAAAAAGAAATATACGAGTATTTAGTTTTGAGAGTGTCGAAATTAAGAACTTCTATCAAAAAAAGTATACGTTGAAATTAAGAATGTCTATGGTATTTAAGTATTAGAAACCACTTGTTAGGAGGATTTTAACTTTGACAGTCCTGATTAGAGAGAGATTAATCTCAAATTCAAAGTGACTTAAGAATACTTTAAATTATACCAAAAAGAAGTAACATTAGGAACCGAATTTTTTTGGAAAAAAAAATACTAGTATTGTTTTTTGAAGTGAAAAATGTTAATCACTGTAGTCAAAAAATAGTCATCTCATGAATATAATAATGATCGCCTGGGCAATAATTGTAATAAAAATAGTCAAAAATAACAATGATCAACAATCATAACTAACATTGTGAATATAGGATGATATTGCACCAAAATATCATTAAAGGTTGGTTATTACTATAATTATAAACATTGTCTCATAGCCATTAATTATTGAGAATCCAATGCCAACTATCCTGGCTCGTGTGTGTGGGGTTTTATCTTTTTTTCTTAAAACTAATTATTGTCTAGGAGCCCATCATTATTTAGTAATCTACAGTTCTAAACTCCATTTCATTTTTGGGAAAAAAAATCAAACCCTTGATTAACACATAATCACATTGCATGTGTTTTTGGGGAAATTAAAATTAAAGACCCAGATTAGTGTTCATGTCTTTCTCTTCCGGCATTAATCATAAGTAGAGTTCACATTGATTATATGGAAATTCGAATTCATTAATTAAGAATCATAGACTTTATTTAATTTCACACAGTGGACCTGTTGACTGTTGAATGGCATATATTAGCAACATATATACTCACAATTCACAACCACACACACAATGTTATAACATCTTTTTATAAATTATATGAACACAACAACTAAATTTTGGGTTATATACTATATATACTGTTTTTTTTAATATTATTACTATGTTTAAATCTGAATATTTCACAGAGATTTTTGCACATCTATATAAGAAATTTATTATTGCTATATAATTATGTAACAAAAAAAATTCTCAATATTTACTTATGTGATCGACTGCTTTTTTTTTTTTGTGGATAGAAGAAACAATATAAATCATATAAAAAAATAGACCCTCATCAATTAGGATATGTAGCCACTAAAAAACACATATACAAACTGTTTTTTTATTCCGAAATAAATAATGTTGGATGTGTTTTCATCAAAAAAAGGTATCCTTTTAATTTCATGAAACGTGATAGAATTGATAGAACAACTTATATAGACATATTGCATTTATTTGGCCTGCTTGCTGTTAGGTATAGATCTCTAACATCAATTAAATTAATTAACATATAAATAAAATATTATATCTTACATATATATCCACAACATTAAATACATATGCAGATAATAGAATCTTTCTTCTTAGCCATGGAGTCCAAGTCTAAGTTTAGCACTAGCTAGTCCAAGTTTTTTTCAATCCACATTAAATTAAATACTTGAATGCAATTAATTTCATGCCTCACAAGGCATATATATATTGCCCATGCCCAAGTACATGATATTGTTGGTCAAATTTCAAATCTCCAATTAATACTTCCACTTTATATATAAAGAGTGTATATATATATACACACACATATATATTCTTCATTCAAATGTCATATACTCATATTAACTAGTATTAATATAAAATAATCATCAACGAAACTAAAAAGAAAATTAAGAAATGAAAAATGGTAACTTTATTTTTTTTTGGTAAAAAAAATATTGTAAATTTCTATATGAGAGAAGCTGAACTAGATCTTCATATATACCAATCCCGAGTCCCTCGATTTGCTTTATTTTTTAGTTGAATCGTTTACTCACCTTGATGTTTGCTCTCTTATTTATTTTATACACATATATATTATTTTCGGTCCTTAATATAAGAGTTCATTGAAAATTAAATTTGATTCTAAATATAAGATCTCGATCAGTTTTGTTTTCTACATTTGTTTCGCATTCTCTAAAGTATCCCTGTTAATTACACATGTCAAGTAGATTCTATTTAGGGGTAATGACTATTAAAAGGGATACTTTAAAAAAATCAACTCACAATTGTTATGAATAACTAATTTAACTAATTTTTTTTAATCTAATCAAATTAATTAAGTAGTTTTTATATTAAGGATTAGAGGTAAAATATATTTTTAAAAATGAGAAATGACAAATGCACGACAAGCATGCATGAGAGAAATCAGATGAAGATTCGTTTCATGTGTTTGATATAAGGAGGTGGCAGATGAAGAAAGTCAGAAAAATTAATTCATGAAGGGTAGGTTTAGATTGTGCAGGTGAATCAAATATTCCCACTCTGTAACCAAAATTCAAACATATTTTTAGTAGTACCGACATAAATTATAAAATTTATTCACAACCTTATTTATAAATTGTATGAACAATATTTGTTATCTGTTCCTTATATATAACTGCACATATGGAACCCATCTTATAAAATGTAATGTTTTCAGCAAATGTACGTACGTACGTAAGACGCCCTTGATTTTGGTGGGGAAAAAAAAGAGACTTTAAATTTTGTTGGGTTAAGGTGCATCTAGTGGACTAGTACCCCAAAACATTTCTTTAGATATATTTATCATCATGAAATATTTTTTAGTACATTTAGTAATCTGAAGTATTGTTTAGATGCATCCAGCACTCTGAAATATTTTTTTTGTCTTGGTACTGGATGCACAAAACATATTTTTGTGTGATGGAGACACAAAATTTTTTTGAGGTGCTGGATGCATTAAAAAATACTTTACAGTGCTAGACGTACCTAAAAAAATATTTAAGGTGCTAGATGCACCACAAAATATTTTATGGTGTGGCATGTATATGAGAAAATACTTCAAAGTACTGAATACACTATAACCTAATTTGTTTTCACAAACGATAGCCATTTTTCTCATTAATTCCAAATAGAATTGCACATATACTCCTCCGGTCCTTAATATAGGACCCAATTCTTGAGTTGATTTTGGTCCTAAATATAAGACCCATTTCTCATATTTTTTAATTTTCTCTAAATTATCCCTATGGATACTCCCTTAACCATAATCAAGTAGAAGAGGAGAATGGGTATTAAGAAAGATAATTATGGTGTTTTAGGAAAAATGTGTCACTTTTCTTATAATTAACTAATTTACCTAACTTCCTTAATCTAATCAAATTAGTTAAATGGGTCTTATATTAAGGACCGGAGGAGTACATAAATAAAGAGTAAAATATTTCTTTATGTAACCCAAATGAACTCATTATTAATTAGTGTATATAGCACCTAGTAAACATATTGTTAGTTTAAAGGATTAATGTGCAAATTTATTTCAAAAATTTTCACTCAAGAGCATTAGACATTCATAAGTTTTTTTGGATACTAATTTACCTCAAAAGTTAAAAATTATAACAATATTATTCCCTGCCGTTAAAAGACTAATGTTAACTATTAAAATAATGATATTAATTGTTAATATTTTTAATGATGTGGAGGAAAATTATTATTATTTTAAATTGTCAGAACAAATTTATACTTAAGAAAGCTTTTGAGAAAATTTTCAGAATAAATTTACATCTTAACTCCAAATTTAAATTAAATGGTATTGCTCATAGCATAGTAATAGGATGATACTCCTTGGGCCAAAAACTCATAATTCGTCATAATTAAATATGAGTTTTAATTAATTAAGATAATGATTATTTATATTTGTCCGCATGAAAAGTCCAACATACAAATTTGGTCAAAGAGATGAACTGCGGGAGTGTGCTGGCCGGGGTGCGTGGCTGACTGGGAAACTCATTAGATCCCCTCAAAAGCACGACATACGCGATGTGGATATGATAAGTCCATGTCATCTCATCTTTACATATACATTCTTTTAGCATTTTTTTTTTGGTCAAAACAGTCAATTTTATTAATAGACAAAACAAGGATACAAATACCAATAGCCGAAGCCAAAAAAACACTCAAAGAAACCTAAGATACAACCTACCACACCAAAAAAACTCACAGAAAGCAAGTAAACAACAGACTAAACAAAAAAACATAGACACTTAACCAATACCTGATCTAATCTCCTTCACGGGCCCCAAAGATTCCAAGTCCTTTCTCAGCAACTCGATCAGAGAGGTTGGTGGTTTAGACAACCATCCTTGCGGTACCAATCCTCCCATAGTTTGAGCTGCCAGCCAGTCAGCAGCACAATTCCCATTCCTAGCTACCAGAGTAACTTCGACATCCTTATACTGTGATGATTTCAACAAACTGATACACTTCATCACCACATCCTCACAAAACCACTCACAGCCTTTTAACTCCTCCCTTTTCACTTTGTAGAAAAGTTCCTGATAGTCCGTTTCAACCATCAGTCTCCCACCCCACCACAGGTCTCTATTTTCCAGAGCTTCAAGTAAACCCAGACTTTCAGCCATAAAAGCAGAATTGGCATCCACCATTTTTCCCACTCCACCCAAAAACCTTCCTGCCCAGTCCCTGCCAATCATGCCAATAGCTGCCTTCCTTGTTCTTGCACAGTAGGCAGCATCTATATTTACTTTAACTGTACCCATCACAGGTTTACTCCATCTCAGTTGACAGTCCAAGCACTGATCTACAACTAAAGGACCTTTCTTATTTCCTACTGCATCCCATTGATCTCTAACCAACCTCAACGCTCCTGTAACACATGAAAGGGCATCAACATCAACATGTTCAAACATATATTTGCATCTAGCTTTCCATATTCCCCAACAGATGCTACTAAATATGGCTTTCTCATAGTCCTGATCTTTCTTCCCGCTTTTAAACCAATCTTCTAACCATCTATCAGTTCTGAAATCCCCCAAAGCTTCAAATTTCAAAGTCAAAGGCGAACCAAACCAACATTGCACTGCCCAAGGACAAAGGAAGAGAGCATGTTCAACAGTTTCCACATTTGCTTTACAAATCTCACACTTCGGGTCCAAGGCACACTTCTTCTTGAAGAGTGAGTCCTTTGTTGCTAGAGCTCCATTCACTGCCCTCCAAAGAAAGTGACGAACCTTAGGAGGCATCCTAATCTGCCAAATTCCATTCCACAAAATTTTTGACGGTGTATAAGAGCCACTTGGATCAGAGCTCTTTTTAGCCTCATCTTGCTTCAACGCCACCCTATAACCCCATTTCATAGCATAAGTACCATCTCTACTATTTTTCCAAATAATCTTATCAGTAGTCCCAATTACTGGTATTCTGTTTCTACTGATTTCATTTCTATCCTCAGCTGTAAACCAGTCCCCAAAACCATCAAAACACCACTCCCCATCCTTAATCAAATCCCTTACACATATATTCTTCATATCTTCAGATAAAATTCTACTTTTCAACTTTCCCTCCTTTGATTCATGTAGCCAGCTATCAGTGAACACCTTAATACATTCACCATTCCCCAACTTCCAACCGAGATCCTTACTCAACAGCTCTCTTCCTTCTAAAATACTCGTCCATCCCCAGGACGCTTTGCTTCCTTTTTTTGCTTGTAAAAAATCAGTCTTAGCAAAATAGAGCCCCTTCAGAATCCTGCACCAGAGATCATTAGGATTTTGAATAAGTCGCCAAGCAGTCTTGGCCAATAAAGCCTTGTTAAAAGCTTCCAAACTTCTGAATCCCATACCTCCCTCACTCTTCATTTTACTCATAACCTTCCAAGCTTTCCAATGAATTCTACCCTCTTGTCCCCTCTGACCCCACCAAAAATTAGAGATCATACTATCTAATTCACTGCAAGTCTTTTTTGGAAACATGAAGCAGGACATAGGATAGATTGGAATAGCATTGGCTACAGCCTTTATGAGTACTTCTCTTCCTGCAAAACTCAAGAGCTTTTGTTTCCAGCCTTGTAACTTCTTCCCCATTTTGCATTTCACAAAAGATAGAGCTTCCACCTTCGATTTACCCCAAATCATAGGGAGTCCGAGGTACCTGCCTGGGTCCATTCGATCACCAATCCCCAACTCCTCATACACATCTAGTTTTACTGCATCACAAATATTTTTAGAGAAGAAGATACAGGATTTTTCCAAATTAATTGCCTGACCAGATGCTTTACAATAGCCGTCTAGAATCTTTTTCAGCTCTCTGCAGTTCTGCCTCTTTGCATTCATGAATAATAGAGCATCATCAGCAAAGAAACAGTGTGAAAGTACTGGACATCTACTAGCTAACTTGATCCCCTTCAACCTTCCACACTCCACTTGTTTCTGAATCATTAAAGACAAAACATCCGCTGCAATTATAAACAAATAAGGTGATAAGGGGTCACCTTGTCTAATTCCCCTTCCCATACTAATACCTGCCACCTTCTTCCATGAGACTACCAAGTTTAAGCTAGCAGAGGTCACACACTGCATTATCCATCCAATCCACTTTTCTCCAAACCCCATTTTTCTCATGACTTCTTCAATAAAGCACCACTCTAACCTGTCATAGGCTTTCTTCATATCAATCTTTACTGCCATCTCAATCTTCTTTCCCTTCTTCTTATTCTTCAAATAATGAAACGCTTCATGAGCAATTATAAGATTATCTTGTATCAAACGGCCAGCAACAAAAGCTCTCTGATTCACTGTTGTAGTCCTCATCAAAACTATCTTCAATCTATTAGACAAATTTTTGAAATTATTTTGTAAGCAAAGTTACATAGTCCAATTGGTCTAAACTGGTCTACATTGTCAGCATTGTCAACTTTTGGTATTAGAACCACATTGGTTTTATTTACAGGCTGCAGACTAGCATTATTTACAAAGAAATCCTGCACCATCTTTATTACTTCTTGATTCACTTCGCCCCAAGCTGCATGAAAAAATAACCCTGAGTATCCATCTGGTCCAGGTGCCTTAGATCCATTCAGCTGAAAGACCGCCCCCTTAATTTCTTCCACTGTAACATGTCTTGTCAGCATTGCATTTTCATCCTCAGACACAATCTTTTGCACAAATTGAAGAGCTTCCTCCATGTCCCTAGTATCTTCTGAAGCAAACAACTCAAAGTAAAACTGAGAAAAGGCCGTGTTAATCTCATCCTCTTTTTCAATCCATTCTCCGTCTCCTTTTCTTAATTTCACCACTTTATTTCTGGCTCTTCTCTGCAGAGTACTAGTGTGGAAAAATTTTGTGTTTCTGTCCCCTGATTGCAACCAATTGACTCGAGAGCGCTGCCACCAGAATTTCTCCTCCCTATCCCAGGCATGTTCAATCATCTTGATGATTTCTTCAGCTTATGCCCTACCAGCTTCAGTCAAGAAACCCCTTTGGCAAGCCTCCAGCTTCTCAGTTAAGATCTTCACAGTTTTCCTGGCATTAGGAAAGACTTCCCTCCCCCATTTACTAAGCACCGGGTTGAGTTTTTCTAATCTATATACTAATTCTTCCACCTTAGTATCTTCCTTTCTTTGCTTCCATTCCCATCCTTTTCTAACCACCTCAAGGAAATTTTCATGATCTGCCCATATCGCCTCAAATTTGAAGGTCTTAGGGACTACACTAGATTTATAATCACAATCCACAAAAAGAAGATGATGATCAGACCCAACAGGGTCCACTATGGTAACCAAGGCATTTTGGAATTTTCCTCTAAATTCACAGTTTGCTACTGCTCTATCTAGCCTCTCCTTTACATGTTCATCACCAATTCTCCTGTTATTCCATGTGAATTTAGAGCCTTGGTACCCCAAATCTAGCAGCTCACAATCTGCCAACATACACTGGAAGTTCAGTACTCTCCTGACATTAACAGGCAATTTTCCCAACTTCTCAGTCGCTGCTTTGACATCATTAAAGTCTCCCAAGCAAAGCCAACTATTGCTTATGTTCACTGCAAAGTTCCTCATCTTGTTCCATATCAACATTTTTCTTTCATCTGTTGGTGCACCATAGACAAACGTTATATAATCTGGAACTTTAATCACTTCTGACCTTGCAGATACGTGAATGAGGTTCTCTGAGCTAAACCAGATGTTTAACTCCACTTCCTTTGACCACCACAAAGCCAATCCACCTCCCGTTCCCCTTGGCTCCACATAAAATTCTTCCTCCATACCACACTGTCTTTTTATTCTTTTTAACCTTACACCACTTCTTCTTGTTTCCATAAGGAATATCACTGAGGGTTGTAACTTCAAACTTTCCTCCCTCAGCTTTTTCACTGTCAAGGCCCTCCCAAGACCCTGACAGTTCCAGGAGAGTAGCTTCATGGCTCCTTGGTGGCTGTTTGAGGCCAGCCACCAAGACCTTCAGCAGACATTTCATACCCATTATCAGTATTCTGGATCCAATCTTCTGAATAATCAGCTTTCTCCTTTACTCCTACCCTTCCTTGCTGTCTTGACTTCTCATTCTCCCTGCCACTCCTTCTTATCATCTTCCGAACAGCTCTAACACTCCTTCTCACTTCACTTCCCTTCTTTTCCACCCCTTGCTTTTCATCTGTCACATTTGACTCATCAAAGTATAACTTCCTCCTCTTAACCATCTGGTTCTCTGTAGTTTCTACAAAAGATCTTTTTAGTTTTACCTTTTTCAGCCCAGTAGTCACTTCCGACATAGGTGAGCTAGAACCATAAACCACTATTGCCTTTGATAAATCAACTTTTTCTTCCTTTGTACTATTCATTCTCTTTTTTTCATTTAAATTTTCATATAAAGCCTCTTTGCTGACTTCTGTCTCATACTTTGAGTCGCTTTCCACCGTTGCTCCACCTTGTATCCCCTCTCCCTTTCTGCTTACATTCTGGTCTATCCAACTTTCCTTGCCTTCAGCTGAACTGTCTGAGGCAACTTTCGGTAACTCATTACCTGATGATATTACACCATTGTCATCTTTATTGTTTTCCTCACTCTTTCCTCCACTATCTTGTAACATTTTTGTTCTTCCGACAGCCTTGTTTTTTTCTTGTTTAGAGACCTCGTATTCTTCCCATTCTCCAGTACAATTGATCAATCCTTCCTCCAAGGTTTTAATTCCCGGTGTGCTCAGCCATCCGCCAAATTTTCTTTCTACATTTTCTACTTCCGAGTCTCTAGTAGGACACATTCTCATATCATGTCCAATCCTACCACAGACAAAGCAAAAATTCTGTAGACGCTCATATTTTGCTTTGATCCAAATCGGATCCTTGTCTGGTCTCGGCGTCCACATACCAGAAATAAGCGGCTTCAGAATATCTACTATCACTCTGACTCGTAGAAAACTTCTAACCAGCAGGTCCTTCTTTCTTGGATTTTCTATTAATTTTACTTCTCCGATCATCGATCCAATAATCTCAGCATTCTCAACATCAATTACTTCCAATGGCAGATCATGAAATTGAATCCAAAAAGGACATTTACTAAAATCAATTTCATTAAAGGTTATAGAATCCTTCCATGGTTGTATATTCAGTAAGGTACCTTGTATCGACCAAGGGCGACCACGTAGAATGCGATCACGTTCCTCCTTTTTTCGAAATTCGAAAATGAAGGCATTACGGTCTACTTCAGAAATCTCTAGATCTTCATTCCTTATCAGATTCCAGCCTTTTCTAATCATCTGAATCACCGTCTGTTTATTCATATTCTTTTCTGTAATAAGCTTACCAGCCAGAGCTCCACCATAAAATTTCTTCTGCTCCTTTTTCTTCCACACCAGATTCACCTCCAGCCCTCCTCTCTGGCCGTTTCCTCCTTCTTTCGAACCTTCTTCCATTGTAAATCCTCGCTTCTCTGAGTTACTGCGGAGTACAAAAACTCAAAGCACTCTTTCTTCCTCCGTCGCAGTGGGCGGCGGAGCTCACTAGTCACAATCGGCAAGATAACTACCGTAACAAACTCTCACAGGGAGAGAGAAAAGCTCTCACGAGGAGAGAGACTAAATGCTAAGTATTATATGCATTCTTTTAGCATTAATGCTTTCTTTAAATACTAAAATTTGATCTCCATTTTTGCTCATTAAAACCTTATTTCAGGGATCAAAGACGCTGTTATGAGACAAAAAAATCTTTAAATATATTAAAATGTGGTGAAATTTCAAAAATTAAAATTAGTATTAACATTTCTTTTTAATTTCCTTTGATGAGAGATTATCATTATTATGTAAGAATTTATCAAGAGGAAAAATAATAAAATAATGAATATGTATGTAGAACTTTTCTGTATTTTATATCAAGTGTAAATAACCTTTTGAACATTAAATTTTTTTACAATAAACCTGTTTAAATTTTTATGTTTATGCATATAACTCTCATATTATTAGTTTTGTTCATTATATATCAGGCATAAAGGTTAACAGATTTATCTATATATAGAATTCAAAATTTGAGGAGGGTTTATATAGACATATTAAAAAAGTTTTTGAGGTATAAAATTGATAGATAATTCCTGCATTTCACCGTAGAATGATTATCTGCGAAATTTGAAAGTTTAAGGAATTTGTTACTAAATTTAAAGATTAATGAAGTTGTTTGTATATCAATTTAATTTCAAGAAGGTTGAAGTTTGGTGATATACTACCTCTCGTCTTTGATATAAGAGTTAGTTAACTAATTTGAGTAGATTAAGAAGATTTTTTAAGTTAGTTATTTGTAATAAATATATGTTATTTTTTCTAAAATACACTTATTAATTATATGTATTAGCCATAATTACTATTTGATGTAATTTTTAACATATACAACTAATACAGAGACTACTTTGAAAAAAATAGATAAATATGAGAGACAAAATAGATTGGGATCTTATATCTATGACCAAATTATATAACTCTTATATTAAAAACCGAATGTAATATATCTTATACTACTCATAAAACGATTAACGGTGCATAATATCTTTCTTTTGGTTGGTAGCAAACACATATTTGACATTTATATCTTTATTGATTTGGATTTGGACATTGTTGGGTTTAATTTTATTTGAAGGATGTTAAATTCCTTTCACCCGAAAACGACACAAGTAAATAATGCGCGATGTCTTTCTAATGTGTGGCAAAAACTACACAAGTATTTGTGAAGCTAACAATTATTATTGTTAATTAAACTTTTTTAAAAGGCACAAGTTTTGCATAAAAACATGTAGCTCACAAAAAGTGTTATGCTCAAATGTGTTTGGGGAAGGATTTATTTGTGAATATAATTATGAATTTATCACCCAATGGTTAGAAGGAATTTGGCTTATCGCATAATAAGATAAAAATTTTGTGAGGTTAATAATAATTGTTAGTGACCTCGCCAAATATTTTTAAATGTATTAATTTTTTTTCGTATAAAACTTGCAGGCACTAAATGTGATTTACTAAAGTTATTTGTACATTAGGAGAGTAACTTAATTTCATTTCAAGATCATTAACTTGTCAAATTTTAATTTAGGACCTTTGACATATAGCTGTAAAGATTAGATAATGACTATTTGCAATTTTATCCCCAATTTCAAAATTTTTTTAACTCATATTTCCTATTTTATCTGAAAGTATTAAAAGCCCTGGTCTTTTTCATCTGTGGAGGAATTTAACAGTAACATTTTAAAATCTAACAGTCAAGTGCAAACAGTTTACAACTTACGTTTAAAAATTTAACCCAAAAAAAAAACTAACGTATTAAATTAAAATTTAATAATTTATTGGTCTTAACATGAAATTAAATTACCATATTAATGGGTCTCTAATTGTGTAATGTCGCGACTTACCTAACTAGAACTAACCATAATGTCACCACTTAACTAACTAGAACTTACCATAATAGAAAGGAATAAAACCAATAAACACATCTTATCATAATTATTTAGAAGTAATTACATCTTTAAGGGGCTAACTATGATAGAAAGGCATTTAGCCTCAATTAAAGCTATTATGGTTAGAAAAAGAAATGCCTTATCATCTGTAATCAACATACACTATCATATAGTATATTCACATGCAACCTGTGTTAAGAAAGATTAGTCATAGCTAACCTGGTTATAAGATAGCATGTCCCTGATTGATAAATTACAATAGCAGTTCATATTTGACTATCTCAATTGACATTAACAAAGAATAAACTTGCAAAAATTGCCATTATCGCATTGTGGATCTACAAATAATTCAATCACATACAACTTAAGGATCTCAGGCCCACTACCAACACTCCGATCCAGTGTCTAGACAAAATAAATCAAAGATAGAAGATGCAATATGTTTATCAAGACAAACAACATAAAAATATGAGAAAGTAAAATAAGTTCCAAATGAATACAATCCTGATGCGTTGTAATATATGAAAAGATTGCATAAAGTAAGGTCCAGGATCTCTATACTGTCAGCTGCAGCTATTGAGTCTCAAGAGTCTTCCTCGAAGGTCTTGCTAACGTGTTGTTTCCTGAAAACGATAAAACAATAGAAGTAAGACAATGTCTCAATAACTAAATCCCTACCTATCACATACACTAACATGGGCTAGCCAGGTATCAGGTGGGATATGCAAAGTTGATAACAGTCAACAGACATTTATTTAACATTTAAACTCATAACAACCATATAAGTTAAATATTTCCGTCAATCTCATGCAATTGATAATTTCAAAAGAGATAACATACTTTTTATTTATTTAAAAGATATAAATATCAATGAGATCTCATGTCCTATGCAATCCTTGAACCTAAATCCATCTTTATATTCTCTTTATTTCCGTCGACTGGACCTATGAGCTAAGTTCTTTCCATTTGACTGGTTATTCTGACAGGCTCACCACATGAGTGATATGGACTAGTAAAAGACCACAGAGCACTAGGTAGACCATGGGTCCTCCCTGGAAGAACTAGTGGGACAATAATAGTAGCCAACTATAGCACTCCGTATCGAGAACAATACCAAATGGCGAGTATATAAATACCACTAATTCCAATCATCTCCTTTCCCAAACTAGATGCATAAGGTTCACAATAACACATTTATATGCGTAATCAACTAAATTGCATAATAATACTTTATAGTCATAATAACTAGTTTCTAATCATGCAAACGATTTCAATCCTTTTCATAATAACATTCCACAAGACAATTCATACAAAATGTAATATACGTATACAAAAATTGGTTATAAAACCACTCACCAACTTCATACTAGAGCATGTAACATATAGAAATTTAGTTACACGATCTTCTAGCTAACAGTCAAATACAACTAAAGCCCCACCTCAAAAATGCCACAATAGGGTTCATATTTACAAACAAAATTAAAATATTATCCCTATAGTATTAGAGTAGGCTACTTACAAAATCCTAACATCTAATTTCTCCTCTAAAAACTTCAACTTTTTCTCAAAATGCTAGCTCACAAAGTCTTTTTCTAAAGTTTAGAGTGAGAACATATATGTATGATTTATACTCAATTCTTAAATTTTTCTTAACTTAAATATCTTTCAATTATTAGGTTATATCATTAGAATCATCAAATTCATAATGTAGATAGAAAAACCTAATTTATAACTTATGTTCTATTTTCGAAAGACTTGAATAAATAGATTTAATACGAGTTAGGTTATTCTTGCAACAGAAGTTAAACTGTTAATTTGACTGTTGAATTTAATTTTCCATCTATCATGATTCTATTCTCCAAATTATGGCTCAATCTAATAGTGAACGGGCTTAAAAACGCTAATTTACTATTCATGACTCTATCTATCAAATAAAAAAAAAACAAGTTGAAAATGTACCTAATAACTTGTAACTTAGAGATCGAATTGATAATCAAACCATTGACATTGACGGTTTGGACATCCCAAATAGGCTAACCAAATTTTAGTTTGATCTAACAGTTAACAAGCTCAAAACTAGTATTTTTCTGAGATTGTATATGTGCAAAAATTATTTGCTTACTCAATACTCCACCTACAACCTCCCATATATAAGCTTCTCAAACTCTTTCATTCTAGTAATTAATTGATGGACTTTCATACCACACTATACTTGTATGTTTTTATAATATCACACACACATTCACATAGACACAATCATGATTAATTCAAAAAAATAATTTACTTATATTTAAATTTTTAGTAGCTTGACACTAAAAGATATTTATTTATAAATTTAATTAAATTCTAGGTATATATTAAAAAAAAAAGATGTTACAAATTGCCATTCTCCCTACTTTCTACGTTTACTGAACTAACAATCAAGAAACAGTTTTTTGGCTAAAGAAATTCTTAACTCTTAAGGTACGAAATCAAATTAAACTAATTAATCAGAAACATAAATTATTTTCTACCTTTAACAAAGCAATATATATAAATAAATAATAAGTAAAGTAATACTACTCTATACTTGGTGACTGACTGAGTAATATATTTATTTGCTTCTTTTTTCTGCAAAGTTGATATTTTACATATGAAGATACGCTGCACAAGATTCAGGATTGTCAGTCATATGGGATTAGATAAGCGTAATGTTATTAATATTAATGCTAAACGCAATATTTCTTGCTGCTAATATTAAATAATTTAATAATAACAATAAAAACAACAATAATAATAAGAATTAATACAAATTTTGGTCCTTTAAGTTTACTCTCATTTTGGTTTTGTCCCTCAATTTTTTTTATATTTAAAATATTAATTCTCATAATCTAATAAAAACTCAGATCATTTTATCCTTAAAAGTTGAAAGACTGAAATATATCATTTAAAATTTAAAAGACTAAAATTAAGAATAAAAGATAAAAATTAATAATAATAATA